ATTTATGCCGTCTTCGGCGAGATTTTGAACCCGGAAGTATGCAAAGGTCGCATTCGGCTTTGTAGGCCCACGGCGCGGTCACAGGTTTCTGTCTGTGTTTGCAGAACAAGTGGTGATCTACCAGACCGGCCTGATTCCCAGCCAGTTTGTGAAGATTCTGGCAGCCGAGAATCCTCAGAAGTCAGAGTTCATGACCAGACTGTGGCTGTCCCTCATCATTATTGGGCTCAACTCAACTGTAAGAAGGTTTACATTAGGCCATGTTGATTTAATTATATGGATGACATCCTCCGGGAGCCCCAAAACTGATGCGCGCGTGCGAATAAAAAAAAAGTTTTGGCAAAAAAAAAAGGTTCTTTTCGTTATGAAATCTACGTGGTCATGAGGGTTGAGCAAATGGCACAGAATATGGTTTGGCAAATAATCTAGTCTTCAAGTTCATTTCTTTACAATTTCGTTTTTTTCGTTTGATTTTGGCATTCTACGACATTGGTATAGTTTTTATTAATTTTTTTGTAACTTATGGTATATTTTTGCTCATTTTGCAACTGTTTTGTACGATTTACAGTATGGTTGAAAACTTTTACACCCCAGGAGGGAGACCAAAAAAACCCCGTAAAAGTAGAAAGACGTATTAAAAACGCGAAAATACTGCCAAAATATCGAGCGACGTCGGACCCTACCTCTGCTTGGAGAGTACGGCCAGGGCAGTATCCAGTTATCATTCATTTGGCTGGCGTGTAGGAAAGATACCAGTACAAAGACTGAATAAAACCCAATGAAAACACCTAAAAACATAAGCCCATAAACCCCAAATCTCTGCTTGGAGAGTCTCCGTCTGCTACAAGTCTCAGTCTGCTATGTGATGTAAAAAATAAGAGTTCTTCTTTGTTTTTCCCCGTCAGTTGAAAAGCCTGAATGGTTACATCAGTAGCCTGATGTATGTGAAGTGGCGGCGGCTGATCTGCCACAGACTCCATCAGAAGTACTTTCAGGACACCGTGTACTACCAGCTTAACGTACTGCAAGGGAACATGGACAATCCGTAAGGACCCTTTTGTTTGTTTGTTTGTTTGTTTGTTTTGCATCTCTGAGCCGAAGTACTTCCAGGACACGGTGTACTACCAGCTTAACGTACTGCAAGGGGACATGGACAATCCGTAAGGACCCTTTTGTTTGTTTGTTTGTTTGTTTGTTTGTTTTGCATCTCTGAGCCGAAGTACTTCCAGGACACGGTGTACTACCAGCTTAACGTACTGCAAGGGAACATGGACAATCCGTAAGGACCCTTCTGTTTGTTTGTTTTCTGTTTTGCATAAACAGTAAATCACCTTTATTTGATGCATTTACTGTTATGACCTATGAAGCAAAAAAAGAAATAATGGCAGTGGCTTCTGAACAGTTTTCTTGGCATGATCTATACTTCCCTGGATTGTAGTGCAGGTAAAATTTGTCTGGTCCAGGTTTTCAATATTACCTACAGCGGTACAGGTATGCAGAAAAAAGTAACAACATAACAATTGTTGTGAAAGTTGATTGATATTTCTTGTTGTTGTTGTTGTTGCTTTTCTGTCCAGGGACCAAAGAATCAGCCAGGATGTGGAGAGGTTCTGTAAACAGTTCAGCCTGATGATAGCTGTGATTGTCATATCTCCCTTCACCATAGGATATTACACGTATCAGTGTTACATAAGGTTGGTGTTTAGCATCAAGCCTACATGTCCACATAAGTACACATTGTTTTGCCAAATGAATTGCATGTGATTCACTGCTTCTTCGATGTTTTCCTTATAATGTTTTACATTCAAAAATGTAAATCATTTGTCAATAGAAGAATATCTCAAAGTCCAGGGATGGGACAGGACTATTTTCATCTAACGGAGTGTTAGGATATAGAGAAGACAACTATAGCAAGGACTCTGAACAATTTGTCTCAGCCTGTGTGTGATACAGTGGCAAGGCAGTATCCATTGGCCAGAGGATTGTCCATTACCTTCTCCTCCATTGTTTAAACTGTCAAAAATAACTGTTGGTGCAGTGACCCATAGATAGACTTTCTGTTACAGTTACAGCTAGCTGGCTCACAAGGAGGGCAAGAGCCTAGCATGGTGGTCACGGCAATAAACTAGTTGGCAAGTACATTTTGATTAGGCAATGACTAGGTGTTAATAGCCTTTGAACTTTTCGACTGCTGGCAGATCTTCAGTGGCTAATGGACGCTCCTCTGGCCAATGGATACTGCCCTGCCACCGTTTGATCTGCTTGAAGCTCCGAACATTATTATATTTCAGTCCATACCATGGTATGGATGAAATATATTGTGTTCTCTGATGTTTCTTCTCCTTCTTCTTCTCCTTCTCCTGCCACACAGTCAAAGGGATTCAACTCCGCCATCATTCAGCCAAATGACTTGAAATTTGGCATGGAGGTAGAGTGAGCCAATACCCCCAGGCGTTTTTTTTCATTTTTTTGATACATGCCTTTGAAAAATTTTTATGAAGGTTTTTTGGGGCATTTTTCGCCAAAAAATGGATTTTTGGATCCTGAGCCCTGGTTTTACAACCAAATGATCTGAAATTCGGTATAAGGGTACCTTGAACATGTGTCTACAGAATAGCAGTCACATATTTGGCATACACCACTTCCAAATGACTCATTTGGGGGACTTTAATGGCTATTTTCAGCAAAAAAGGGCCAAAAGTGCTATACCCGTTCCATGTTCTATCTAA